TATTCCCTTTTATGATTTCGGTTTTGCTATAGAAGTACAGGGGCAACAGCACGAAAAATATATAGAATTCTTTCATAGAAGAGATCCAAATAATTTTATCAGACAGCAAGAGCGGGATCAACTCAAGAAAGAATTATGCGAGGAGAATCAGATCGTCTTGAGGTATGTTTGGTATTACGAAGACCCACATATAGTTATTCCTGAACATCTTCGAGAATTGGGTCTCATTGAATAAAGACAAAACTTCAATTACATTTATGCAATTTATTTTTTTTACATTTTTTTACATATCGTAGATTTACGAAATCTATGAATGAGGGGCCACACCACCCATATGTAGCATACACATGTGCAAAACTTTATTATTTTTCAATATTGCTAAGAAAACAAATGTGATGATTTATTAACAAGAATATGTTAATCTAAAGTCTAAACATGCTAATACTATTCGCTATCATTATTAATTACATCTAAAGTTCGCTTTGTCTTTGGAGTTATGAAAGTTTTAGGTGTGGCAACAGTCCGAGGAGGCGTGCGATATCCTTCTTCATCAGAATCGTCAAGAAAATTTTCCAGATTAACATTATTCTTCGTATTTATCATGTCCAAAGTCTGATTAATGATAGCCTTAGCGCATAATATTTCTTTTAAAGTGTATGCAAGTGGTTCTGACTTATTTAAACGTCCGGCAACTGTGTGAACTTTTCTATGTTTAACACGAGAAATGTATCCCTTGGGATAGTCCATTATTAGTAGCTGAAACCTGTTAGCTCCATGTAAAATTCCTACCACTTGCAACTTTCTTACAAGATCTTCCTTCCCATCACACGCCACAGCAAGCTGACCTATCATATCCTTTAACATTTTATTTATTTTTAAAGTCATTCAAGTATTTGGTCCCGCTTTTTCCTTCCCATTTACGTCCAGCTTCTGTCGCGCCAAATTCTAAACGATCTCCACTTAGTCTGAAAACTCCATCGCCTTTACGGCCAATCTTCTTTCTATCATTAATTGTTCTCTTATGGTTCTTCCTGTCACTAGAAGCGAAACTCATGCTTTCACCACGTGCTAACTCAAAGTTCTGATTATCAAAAGCTGGGTCTATCAAACGACCCCATATGTTCATCTGATACCACCCTTCTAACTTTGAATCAATAAAGGGATTTTGAGCTTTTTGCCATAGGAATAACATACTTCGATATGCATAATTTATATAGTTATGATCGAAATGAAGTTCATTATCGTATTCATCTACAAATGGTTCAAGAATTAACTTTTGTAATTGTTTTATGTTGTCAACTGTATATTTTTTCATTAAGTCTTTAAGAGAACGTTCAAGATTTGGAAAGTCCTTAGATTCTAAATTAGTAATTTCATCCCATTCTTCCGTGGAGAATAATGATTCAGCATCTGTGTCGGCATCATTTATTATAAATGAATGTAAGCATGTCTCTCCAGGTAAATTTCTCGCAAACTTATAGATAACCTCTTCCACCTTTCGACCACTCTTAAGTATCCACATGCAATTGGGGTCCAATTCCGAGTACGCTTTATCAAATTTTACTAGGTCAAGTTCAAAAGGTGAAATCTCATTATCCGATAATTCATCATCACCAACTTCTGAGGAAGAAGATGGCCTGTTATCAGAAGCAGATGGTTCGTCATAATCAATTGCGGAGGAAGCAGACGCGGATGGATTCTGAATCGGTCGCTTTCTTGGATTGGTCTACAAAATAATATAAAATAATATATAATCGGATAAGCCCATGGTTGCGAAAAAAAGTTATAAGGAAATCAGATAACATACAGATGGAACTTTATACTTACATCATCCTTTTCCAAATCATGGGGTCGCTTAAAAGATGATACATGGTCGATGTTATTAAGAATATCCATGTGAACCTTCGCCATAGATTTTGCTCCATCTGTGTATGTAGAAATGGTAGCTTCTCTCTGTGTATTGTATAACAGAAGAAATAAGAGCTTGTTGAAAAGATTAGCAACCGGAGAAATCATTAAACTCACCCTGATCATGTCGACAGTTAAACAAGTTTTCACACGTTCGACGAGTTTCTTGTAGTTATAAAAAAAAAGCAATAATTAGCACTTACGCAGAAATAAGCATAAAAATGGTTTCTCCTGTATTTTGAAGAAATTCGGCAGCGACAAGCAGTCATCACCAGGCGACAAGCAGTTTCCCAGCTAACTGTCAAAAGGATATCGACAAGCAGTCATCACCGGGCGACAAGCAGTTTCCCAGCTAGATATCGGTTTCTTCGGTCATTATTAATGGCAGTACTTTCCAGAAAACATACCTTCCAGTCGGACGTTACAAGCTGTTTTGCTAGCAGTGCGGAATCGTCTTTCATGTTAGAACGTGACGTTAGATCTTTTTTAATACGATCGAAAACACGAGCTTCGCTTTCAAAGCAATAGTGGGCCGCAATTTTTTCAAACGTCCAATGTTCTGATGGTAATTCAAAAAAGTTTGACATTTTTTTAGTTGAATGGCGCGTTAGAAATTATTGCTTATTGTCCGGAGCATTAGTGAAGCTGTGAAGGACTATTTACTGTGCTGTCTTAGTAAAAAATGTTTTATCCCCTGTTTTCCTTTTTTTGAAAATACATCGTGATCGTGTAACTCTTTTTTTAAAAAAAACCCCTGAAATACTCATTATAACAAAAAATAATATTAGGATTGCGAAACTTGTAGACTGCGTAACAATCGCATAGTACGAGGACGCAACGGACTTGAACGGTTTCCGTTTCCCTAGTCAGTTATGATGTGCAAGCCATATGAGTGACGGGCTAGCACATGATTTTCGAACTGGGAGACTGGGAGTTTCGATAAAACAAACAAGAAATGAAGCCCGAAATGTGTGCAAACGAAAAATCATGAAATATATGATGCTATCCACATGGAATTGACTAGATAAGATAATATCCCATCACGGGGATTTATTTTTGTGATACTGCGCCAGTTGTACGCGTGATGATGGTCTGTGATTTTCTCGGCGAAGATCAAAATGCCGATATATAACAAGAAGAGCAATATGACCGAAATTTTCATGGACATCTGTAGAGTTGGAAAAAATTGATTAACATCGTGATGTCATGTTTCAAGAAGCTAGTCAAGCAATAAATCAACATATCTTATTATTACTTTGCGGATTATACAAGTTCGTTTGAATGTTAATATCAATGATTTTAATAATGGTAAGCTTGACTGGTTTGAATTTTTTTTGTTTATTTGCGCAAGGCGGATAAAAGGATTCACTAACAGGACATCACCTTTTTATATAATTTGCAGGATCGATCTTGGAGTATGCTTGGGGAAAAATTATATTAATATGATCACATCACAAAAATCTGATCAACAGCTTTAATGCTATTCATATGTAAGATCATCAAGGGATTATACATATTTTTGAGAATGTGCGAGAATGTTTGAGAATAAATTATTATGCGCAATTGCTTGTTCCTGTGATACATGTCATGATTAGTATAATATTACTGTGCATTATTTTGGATATAACTATGAAAGAATCTCCCCCTTTGCATCTTCAGTACTGCAGGAGATTGTTTAACCTATTTTCTACCCTGTTTGTTTATCTGATAGCTTATCCAGATAGCTTTTCTTTTTTCGAATGAATATGAGAAAAAGGAGGTGAATCCCAAAATGTATTATTAATACTATATAAGAATTGAAATGTCAACCGTTTACGAAACGTGGTCCACATATTGTAGAAATCCCAAATCAATTCAACCAGATGCAGGACACTGAGAGTTTCAAAACAAGCTAATATGTGAAGTATTTGGATCACAGGAAGCCAGAATAGCTTTGATAATTGGGAAAATTTATTGTGCCTGGGTTAGAAGTTAATTGACAAATCATAGATCGATTTTGCATAATACGAATACTGTAGAATCGTTACTTCCGGATGCTATGATCGTCACAAAATATGGAACAAATCTCGATTCAGCTAGAAAAAATAAACCTATATGATAATTCAGTCTAAGCGAGTATGTAATTCATCCAATAATTCTCCTGCCTTTAGCGCTTGACTTCGTCACTATGGCTCAGCAGGCGGTTACCAGAGAGATAATAGGATTCATTATTGGTGAGTCTTTCCTTCCGTCACGATAATAATAACCTCTATCACGTTTATCATATTCATTATATCCACTATATCCACTGTATTCACTGTATCCACCGTATCTATTATATTCATCATCTTCAGAATTACTATCAGAATCAGAGTCATCATTGATTGAATTGGGGTCACCATCGTGCTTATTAACTTCATTTGCCTCACTAAAATATACATTATCGTCTGAAGTGACAGTGTTCACTTTAGTGGGATTCGCCTCATTGAAAAACATATCTTCATCCGCCTCTTTCTTAGAATTATCAGAAGAATTAGAGGGTCCCTCTGGGACTGAGTTATGGGCTAATGGGATAGTTGATTCCTTTGAAAACAAGACTTCCAATACATTATTCTGATCGAGAGTATTTACAGGCAAATTTTTTCTGAAACATAATGTCTTAGAAATTTCAGTTACATGCAGAGGTAACTTTTCCAAAGATATTCTATAATCTATAACCTCTTGAATTTGTTCATTAGTAAGCTCTGAAATAGAAGTTGCACTATAAGATTTAATATACTTGATTTTATCTAAGCCCACTCATTCAATAAATTTAGACTTTCTCAGCTCTCTAAGTTTTTCTTGCGCAAACTATCTTGTGATACATCTCGAAGTTATAACCCCGTTTCTTGGGATCTTTTTTTACGAAGCAAATTAAGCTGTTTTGTAATAGAATCATACAGTAAGCCTCTTGCCTTCTTTTCACCGAATTTACTTGATCCCTTTGGGCCTACTCTACTACTTTCTATAATTCCATTGAGCTGAATTATGAAATCTTTCGCAGAGGCATCAACATAAAATTTCTTCCTGATTAGCTCGATTTGCTTTATCTTCAGCATCAAAACCTTTATCACATAACTGAGCTAGATGTTGTGAGACCTCATTAATGCTAGATTTATCAGAGGTAACTTTTCCAGGATATGTCTCGGAAATTTCAGTCACATGATTTTCCTTACCCAGGGTAAACGAAATTTCTGGAAAGTCCAGGGGAATACCAGCTTTTACCATATTCTTATAAATCATAATGCACCAATACCAATATGGTAAACCTGTTACACTATCTGATAATATCCAATGTTTAGTACCTATAGGACAGAGAACCTTCTTCTCAGATTCGATCAGAAATAATACATGATCTTTTGATCGGATACCTACATTCTTTACATAAAATACTTTTTTACCAAAGAGACAGTCCCGATATACTTGGATTATAGGATCGAAAACTTCAGATTGGTCTACTGGATCATCTAGCAAAGTCCCCCTAAAGATGGAAAGTATGTATCAGTTGCCATCTCGTCTATACCTTTTTTACTAACCCCCTTATGTCTAGAATTCGTGGTCTTATCTGCTAAGATATAGTGGTAAGACTTAGCTCAGATATGAAATAATTCTATGATTACATTACTCAGGGTTTCATCTTTAAACTTACCAATAGTTACGTTCCCATTAAGAGCAAAGAGATCTGATCGTTCAGCCATATCTTTATAGATATCTTCAGTCTCGACTTGAAATATGAAAGAGTCTGTATCCATATACAGTCAGACCTCTCTAAATGCATCCTCTATAAATGCACACCCTCTTTAAATGTATACAATGTTCTGGTCCTAAGCTTGGGACTTAGAGGTTAACTGCACCCTTCAAGTTCTGCATATGCAAGAAAATTTTCTGTCCTTTGATATGACAATTCGATCTCTAAATGCACGTCACGTGACTATTTTATAAAATAATAGGACCATTGAAAATTTGATGTTTTTTTTATTCAT